TTTAAACTGTCACCGGTGACCGCAACCTATTGTTCTTTAATTGTCTGTAATGACGGTACTCAACGAGTTAAAGTATGCTCCTTTAGAGACGATACACTTGCGCCAACGAATAATCTATTCATCAAAACATTTTTTAAACGCTGCTTCCAGAATTGAGTTTAGTTCTCGCCGCGAATTCTCCTTTACGTCTTCTATCGATTGAAAACGGGTGCCACGAAGTGGTAATTTGAGTTTAGGAAAAAGAAAAAAGTCAGCAGGAGCCATATCTGGTGAATATGGTGGTTGCTGGATGGTATTTGTTGAGTGTTTGGTCAAAAATTCGTTCACCTTGATGCCACCAATGATAGCCTTGTGCGAAGGCGCTTTCTCGTGGTGCAAAATCCAAGAATTTTCTTTCCACAAATCTGGCCTTTTTCGTAGAATTTGCTCTCTTCAACGCCGCATAAAGCTCAAATAATATTCTTTATTTACCGTTAGACCTTCCGGTAAGAATTCAGAGTGCACAACAGCGCGATAGTCAAAGAAAACAGTCAACATGACTTTGATTTTTGATCGACTTTGGCGTGGTTTTTTCGGTTTCGGTTCAGTTGGAAGGCGCCACTCCGAAGCTTGTTGACTAGTTTGCATGCCAAACTCATGAACCCACGTCTCGTCACCAGTAACAATGTGTTTCATGAATGTTGGGTCCGAATTGACTTGTTCTAGCATATCCTCAGCGACTTTCATGCGATTAAGATTTTGGAGAAAATGGAACTAGCCGAGCAGCAACATGTTTCATATCCTTTAATAGTTTAATGTATAGTATAGATTAGTTAAAATGGTACGGATCGACTCGTGAGATACAGAAAGTTCGGCGGCTATCTCTCTTAGAGTTGAATGGGGATTTTCAGTCACTATTTCCTTCACTTTTGCGATGTTAACTACAGTTGCAGACCAGAGCGAGGCAAATCTTCCATCATATCTCGACCGTTTTTGAACGCTTTGTACCACTCATAACGATGAGATGATAACGAGTTTTTGATAAAGTCGATTCACCGTAAGCTTTCTGTAAGATTTTCAACTCCGAACACGAAATTCCATTGGCGATGCAAAATTTAAGACATACTCTTTGATCGATATTTGTGTCCATTATGAAATTCACAATATACATAATATATGATATTTCTGAAACCAGCGCTGTATTTAATAATTTAATATAAATAACAGATGCAAATCAAACTCCGCGCCAAAATGGAAAACAGATGTGCCAATCTAACAACTACATAAAAACAAAAATTTGAATTTGGAACCATAAACAAATCATCCATTCCCGATACTTTTTTGAGTGAATGTAGGTATATGCGCGTCACAAAGTACCTATTTATTTTGTTCTGAAAATAAAAATAGAATAAGATCATTATAAATGACTATATGACACTAGACTAAAGAAAATAAGTGGTTCGTTTAGATGTCAGAGTATACGCTTTTACAATAAAATTCCCAGCCATATCCAAAATCTGAGTCTAAATAAATTTAAAAATGCCATTAAAGATAAATTTTATAGTAAAGCTTTTTATAAAATTAAAGACTACCTAGATGATAGTCTGGCTTGGGAATAAGCTGCTGTAACGTCCACACGGGTCATGTTGACATGTTTGTAACATTCAGTAACATATAGTTACATTTCTTCACATTGTTTTTCATACATTGTTCTAACTTGACATTTGCTTTTTCCTTTACAATTGTTAGTGCTAGGACCGTGCGAGACTTTGCCTCACCATTTCTTTTCTAATTACCCATATTCTGACAGTTTGAGTATTTGTGCGACCCACGCAAATGTTCTTTAGGTTGGTATTGTTCGTCGAATCAGTCAGCCTCACCTGTTAATTGAGCCGACTGTAAACCGACACATGCGTACTGCCTTCAGAACGGGTCCGCTCAAACTGTTGTGGTTCTTTCCTCAAAAGGCCACTACAGAAAGAACTTGCACGGTTCTCACACATAATCTTTTATACATATTGTCTGGACTTTAAAAGAGACAGACCTCTGAGTTTGTTTCGGCATTTCTTCTCAGAGTAGTCAGTTAGGAAATGTCGACCTCATCGTTCGCTTGATAAAATTGACGTGTAAAAGTGCTGCTTTGTAGCCTATTTGCAGAAATAAATTCACTTGTTTCACTTGTTTCACTTCACTTGTTTCACAATGAAAATACCCGCCTATTGGGTTTTTTCCCGCATAAAAACCGGGTTTTTTCCCAAATGGGAAAAAACCTGGGTTTTTTCCCTTTGGGTTTTTTCCCAGTGCCCATCTCTACGTCCATCCATCTTTTTGCCGGTCTGCCTCTTCTTTTACCATCCTGTGGATACCACTCTGTTGCGATTTGAGTCTATTTTATACACACACCCTCACACACACACACACACAATACACATTTATATTAAGCATTATGTTAATTTTCTTTTTGTACTGTTTGTTAGGGAACCTGGGCCTCACGACACAGGGAATCCTAGTGTGAGGTCCAGGATACAACAAAATTGTAAAACTTTTTCTTTTTGAAATAAACATGAAGTAAACATGTCCTTTCCATTTCCATTTTAGCTGTCTTACTTATTTTATTATACCTTGTACCTTGGTCATGGTTGTATAACATACGTTTACTCTAACTTCAGCTAAAAATGAAAATGATAACTTTATAAGTAACATACAAACTTCCTCTTCCATCTCCATACGTTTCCATTCACGAAATACACCAACTAACTTTAACAAATCTACAAACTCCTTTACCTTCACGACAAAAGATCACTGGACCGATTAATAAAACATGAGAACCGTAACTGGTGATCCTTGGACACTTCAGTCCACACTTCAATATCTCAACCTGGACCAATAAATAAATGTATCAAATCCCCTATACTTTTAAAGCTCAATAACAACCTTACAAGCTCTCTTTCTAACACATACAAACTTGGAACACAAGAAAGGGATGGAGCATCTACTTTATTATGATAATCGGAAAATTCTCCAAGACTGTACGCGATCCCTGAATTCAGAGGTCTGAATAAACGATGAGCAGCCCTAGAGGTACATATCTATGTAATTTATTGCTGAAAATGTGGTTCAAACTGATTTTCAGGATTTATTCAGAATGTACGTTAGGGTGGAGATTTGTTCTTCGTTCATGTATGGCGGGATATTGGGTGCTGCTTGTAATCGACAGATGTTGTTCAACTGATTTTGAATCTTAACGATTGGTTATGTTAGTCTTTGTGTTGTTAGAGATTTTTGATGTTTGTATTGTTTACTATCTGTTGCCTTTTTTTTAAGGGTGGAAAATCATCGAATGACTGCTCCCGCCTGGGTGAGGCGGGAGGGAGTGTCAGACTCTTACTGACTAAAAACCACCCCGTTCCTTCTCCTGCATGTCGAGCCGGAGCCCCGATAACCTGTTAGGTTCTCCGCGACATTATCTGTTGCCTGTGACCTCGTCCGCGTAGAATACGAGTTTTGTTTCAATTTTACAAAATTAAAATGGCCTGTGTTACTTCTTAGTAAGTACATCAGCTACCTCCCAGTAGTAAGTAAAAATCGGTCCAGCTATTTCAGAGATTAGCCAGTACAAACAGACAGACAATTTTTTTTCAAATATGTAATTTTGGTATAGGTATCGCATGTAGTAAAAAGCTGTTATTTTAATTTTACAAACAAACACTCCAATTTTATTTATCTGCATATGTATAGACTGTGATATAGTACTTTCTTCAGTGGTGGAGTGTGTAGTGAGACTTACAGTCTCAATCAATTTCACAGTTTCGGATTTGTTTCTCAGATCAAATCGAGCTTGATAAATGTATTTTAAAATAATGGAAACAAAACATTGGCTCTTCTCTACAGTTAAACTTAATCTACCCTACTCTTAGTAAAGAGAATAATATAATACTTTAATAAAGCATAATAATATGCTCTATTTCACAATAAACATAAACACAAGCAAAAATTATTCGCTTAATTCAATTTCTCCATACAAGTAATGAACGCCAGCTAGGCATCCGGCCACCATTTCCACGTAACGTACAGTGCAAGCAATTATATGCCTTATTATTAAAGCAATATAACTCAGTGCAGCTGCATAATTACCATTGTTTATTTTCCAGCTAGCTGTAAATGAAAATATACTGTAATTTGCTTGCAATAAGGTAGTATTTCATAGTTATGGAAAGCGGTGAATGGCTATGGAAATTGCTGTGTGACAAATCAGTGCGTTGCGTTTAAATGGTGGAATATTCATTAAGGATACATTTTGATGTGGTAGAAATATACAATAGGTCAGGTAATCATAGATAATTAATTAAAAAATATTAATAAAGATTTTTTGTGATACTTCAAAAGACGATCAAACGCATATGTGACTCCTCTGGTGTTGTGGATATCTATGGGCGGCGCTGACCCCCTTTTTTTAAGGGGGGAAAATCATCGAATGACTGGTCCCGCCTGGGTGAGGCGGGAGGGAGTGTCAGACTCTTACTGACTAAAAACCACCCCGTTCCTTCTCCTGTACGTCGAGCCGGAGCCCCGGTTACCCGTTAGGTTCTCCGCAACGGCGCTGACCCCTTATCATTAGGTGACTCGTCGGGTCATTTGCCACCCTGTCAAAAAACCGCGTGCAAGCAATCTTTTTCTATAAAAAATACTGTGTTTTCTTTTGACCATTCTTTACAATTACGACGCTCAAAAACTCCATTTATACTTTAATCATTGACACTAGATTTTCCGCAGTTTTTTTTTTTAAGTCCGAAGAGTTTTTACTTGACAAATTCCTGTTATAAATCGACTACGTAAACAATCTTCTAACGCCTTTTTGTACATTCATAATTCAGATAGTAATTTATAATGAGACATAAATTAAATATGAACTGTTACTAACTCAATTTCTGTATTGTCCCCAGCGCGTAGGCTGTGACCTCCGAGTGGGGTCTACACGTCGAGTCGACGAGTGCGGTGTGTGTGGCGGTGACGGGTCCTCCTGCTCCAGACCCCGGTACCACTGGCTCGCCACTCCAGGGTCACTGTGCTCTGCTACCTGTGGTGGAGGTAAGTCCGTCAAGTATTCTGTGAGAGGATTGAGTTTTATTGGTGGGAATGAGCCATTCAGGTTTGCATAAAGCAGGCTCTAGCACCATATGAGAGTCGAATTATTAATTTTTACTACTGAGAAACTCGACTAGTTTCAAGCCATGCTAGAAGCTCATAGTCATGAGCAGCATTTCGCGACCTGCGACGGGGTGACTGTCACGCTGCTACTGGACTGTCCTCCTGAAAAGTTGACCATGTTTTGAATTTTTTCAAACTATATGCAATCAAACAGTGGGTTACTAGAAGATCTATGGAAATAGTTTCTTGAATCTGTATGAGTGTTAGGAAAACGGAACAAGAAGTAAAGAGAGTTGAAATATTAATTATTATGTTTTCGGATTACTCACGTAATAATTTGACGAGAAACTCGACTAGTTTCAAGTCATGCTAGATGCTCATATTCATGAGCAGCATTCCGCGACAGTAATATAAACAGCGTTAAAATATAACATAAGATAACATCACGCCTTTTTATCCCCAAAGGGGTAGGCAGAGGGCCACATTACGGCGCTTAATGCCACTGTACAATGTAACACCCACTTTTCACTATAATATTTATGTTATGAGTGCAATAGGGGGTGAGTCTATTGTCATATAGGTACCGGGCACAATTCCAGACTCCGTGCTGCTACAACTGAGATTTTTTTAAAACCCAACAAGAAATACTTTTCCCGACCCGACAATCGAACCCTAGACCCCTTGCTCGGCTGTCGCAGGTTGAAATACATAGTAACAGTATATGTCATAGACTTTTGCGGCTCATTGGAATACAATATACAGGCGTCATATTACTAAGCGGTAGATGCTACCCTTATAAAAAAACCGACTTCAAAAACTAAAGACAAACGAAAAGTAAAAACTAAAAAGGAAAAAAATAACTATTATTGATCAAACGTACTTCAAAGTCAAAGTCAAAGCATTTATTTCAATTAAACCATAGTTTGGTACTTTTGAAACGTCAACAAATACAAAATAAATAATAGTCTGTCAGTCAGTCCGTCAGTGAAGCTAGGTGAAGCTAGGTGCTCATTCCAAAACGTAGATTCGAATGGAGAAGAACGAGCAAGAAACTCCATTCGTTACCCTTTTAAAAAAGTATGTATAATGTATATACTTATAGCTTACACACCCACTGATAGATTAGAAGTCGGTGCCACAAGTTTTAAACAAAATTATCGAAATCGGTTCATAAATACCGAAGATATCGGACACCAAACATAAAAAAGCATATATACGGTCGAATTGAGAACCTCCATTTTTTTTTTGAAGTCGATTAAAAATTAGTAAAGAAAATATCGCAACTAAACAAAACCCTCTTCAAAGTTTCAATCAAGAAAATCAATTAAATACTCTCGCACAATTTGTAAGAAGTGGCTGAACAACGAATTAAGTACACGATTCAGATCTCAGAGAACGCTGTATCCAAATCTGTTCGATACATTAGGGAAGCATTGTTAATTGTCGGCCTCCGGGTCTCTAAGTAATTTATATCTGGAAATCCGCCATTAGTCGAAGCTTACGATAAATCAGACAGCGAATTCCTTTTGTCTCTGAGCAACAGTTCATAGTAGGATGGCGTAGACGAGCGATTCTGTGGGCTACTTTTTGGTGGCTTGTGATCTTTGAACAAGTGGTTGCTTCATCATAGTTTCGTACTTTGGTTCTGTTCATCTAATTACTGTAGCTGTTACAATGTATATTTTCCAAAAAGTTGACATTAAGAGGTTACCGGAGGCCTAATTACCCTCCTCTTCCCCAACCTCCCCAATTTTCGAATCCCCAACGATCCTCAAACTCCTAATCCCCAAAAGGCCGGTAACGCACTTGTAACGCCTCTGGTCTTCCAGGTGTCCATGGGCGACGCCGATTGCTTACCGAGCAGACAGATCACCTAATGGTGATCTGTCTGCTAATATAGCGGCTTACGCCATAAAAAAATTTAACCATTGATACCGCTATGTCGCTACACCCGACATTATACAATTTAAGGGCTACATCGGGATACATCTGTTGAAACGCTAATTGATACTCGTGATATTGGTGGTAACAGTACACAGCAATAACTACGATATTTAAAAGAAATTATATCATAATAATATTCTTTATTTCCTAAATCGCACATATTTTACTCTCCTGACGCAAAAATAATCGCTACATCAACAAAATGTTGCAACAAAGTCGCCCGTCTATCAGCACCATTACCCAAGCGAGATGCTCAAAGGGCGATTCCAATTAAGAACTCCTCAAAGATGAATTCCAGATAAGTATTAACATTAACACTGTGGAATTGTCCACGATACTCATTTGTTTTTGTAACTATGTAATTGTATAAACATCGAGTTTATATACAAGGTGTTGTTTTAAAGCCGCATCATTTTCTAGGAGATAACTCGGCCACTGAGTTTGTTTCGGCATTTCTTCTCAGAGTAGTCAGTTAGGAAATGTCGACCTCATCGTTCGCTTGATAAAATTGACGTGTAAAAGTGCTGCCTTATAGCCTATTTGCAGAAATAAATTCACTTGTTTCACTTATCGATTATGAGTCCGAATCAATAAAAAAAATGTAGGTAAATGTTTTTCATTTTTCTGTAAATTACGGAAATCCGTAAGTGCGAACTACACCCCGCCGTCTTGTAACAAGCTTTATAACGCGGCTTAACACACACAAACTCAAACACGTAATTGATATTATTCTTAATTCCATAAAACTCCAATAAGAAGCATTGCTGTCGCTTTTTCTGAAATACTGTCCAACTTAAACGATTTATTGTAGCCGTATTTTTAACTATTGGCTCGAAATTTTCTCTTACATTGAACCTTTATGATTTCTTTGACATGACACGGCTTCAAAACTACACCTTGTATATACTAGCTGAGCCCGCGACTTTGTCCGCGTGGAATAGTAATTCACAGCTCCTCCCCCGCAGTTGATAGCATGATAATATGTAGCCTATATGTTGACCCGACCTGTTAGTAATATTCATGCAAAATTTCAAAGTAAATCAATGCAGTACTTTTAGAGTTTACCCCGGACATACATACAGACAAACGGACAAAAATTCTAAAAAACATATTTTTGGTTTCGGTATTGACTGCAGATCATCCCCAAAGCAACCCATATATCCCCAAGCGGTCACCGGTGACCGCTCTCTACTAACTACATTATAGACCTTATTTCCGATGTTTAGAAACTATTTTTATATGAACAAATTTAGGGGATGATTTTCAAAAAATATTCGATGTACAATTTTCACTTTCCTACGATTTTATAGATAGATAGCAAAGGTGCGAACATAGAACATTATACAATGGTCACTTCTCATTGAAGCCTACCTGTAACCTAACATAACATCCCGCCTTTTATCCCCGAAGGGGTAGGCAGAGGGGTAGGTACATTACTGCCACTGTACAATGTAACACCCACTTTTCATTATTTTTATTATGAGTCCCATGTAATAGGGGGTGAGCCTATTGTCATAAACCGAGCAATTCCAGACTCCGTGCTACCTCTGAGATTTTTTGAAAAACCCTGTAATGCTTTGCCCGACCCGGGAATCGAACCCGAGACCCCTTGCCCGGCAGTCGCACTTGTGACCACTCGACCAACGAGGCAGTCAATATTTTCTTCCAATAGGTACTTAATTATTTGCCTGTACCGTGACGAGTCCACTGCTGCACTATAAGGTACGATTCGGACCAACCGGCTCACATCGGGCCGGACCGTGCCGCATTTTACAATGCGGTAAAGAACATTGAAATCTATCAACAGTATTTACAGTTCATATTTGCACGCAACTTAACGCATACACAAGTTCAATCTAATAAAATATCTAGAAGTAAGAACACGAGGAATGTTATAGTACTCAGTAGGTAATAAAAACTTGTCTTCAAATAAAATAATGAACAATGTTCGAATAAAATTAAGAATAATCTCGTCCAGTTTTCCACTTCAAAAAAGTTACGATAATTTTCAATGTTAACCGTAAAACGCGCACCATTTATTACAGAAGTGTTGTAACCCCTTGCCTACTAGATTACCTCGCACCCACTGACCCGAGACGGTCTTACAGACCTTCAGACGTTTCAATTGTTAATTAGGTGTCAGTGTCGTAATGATTAATGGGGTCTGTCAGACCCCTTTGTCGGTTAAAGGGTTGAGAAACGACGGTCAAGACTAAATGAATGGTTCTGACTTTTTGGGGGCAGCACTGTAGATAATTTCCACCGTGGTCTGATGCCGATAAGCATTTCATTGTTAGGGTTAACTAGAGCTGTGATTTTTGTACCATAAACGTATAAAAAATATCATAAAATATATCTTCTTCTGTTTAATCTTAAAGCGCAACTAAAGCAAAAAGTTAAGTTTTAAAATTATAATTGGCTGAATAAGGGCCAAGAAGGCAATCATGTAATTCAAGCAAAAATTGTGACGACCTATTTAAATTCTTAGATCAAGTAAAATATGCAGTTAAATAAAGACTGCCTCGTTGGCCGAGTGGTCGCAAGTGCGACTGCCGGATAAGGGGTCTTGGGTTCGATACCCGGGCCGGGCAAATTATTACTGGTTTTTTTTAAATATTTTTAGTAACACGGAGTCTGGAATTGTGCCCGGTATATGTCAATAGACTCACCTCACATGGGACTCATAACATAAATAGTGAATGGTGGGTATTACATTGTACAGTGGCATTAAGTGCCGTAATATACACCTCTGCCTACCTCTTCAGGGATAAAAGGCATGATGTTATGTATGTATGTATGCAGTTAATTTTATGAATCCAAAATTTATAGTATAACATGAACGATTAGCAAGCTGAAATGCTGAAGCTCAGTTCACGGGGGCGGGAGGAAACATTTGATGATTTTCCCCCTTTAAAAAAACAACCTTACCCAATGTCAGGAGAACAAAAGAGGTGATGTTATTTCTATGCCATTGTTATTATTGTAATATCTACTCG